GATGACTTGAATATGACCCTCCACTATTGCAGCATGAAGAGCTGATACCACATTTGTATCTGAACTCAAGTCTAGCAGAGGTTGCAAAATTTCTGTATGACCACTTGTTGCAGCAGCCTGGAGAGCTGTTCTATACTTTCCAGCAACTAAATCCACCTGTGCCTCTGAGTTCAGCAGAAGCTCAACAATTTCTATATGACCACCCATTGCAGCAGCCTGGAGAGCTGTTCCATAATATCCAGCAATCAAGTCTATTTCTGCACCAGAATTGATAAGAAGCTGGACAATTTTTATATGTCCCTTTATTGCAGCAGCTTGAAGAGCTGTTCCATACTTGCCTGCAACCAAGTCCACTTGCGCCCCTGATCTGAGCAGCATTTGAACCAGTCCTATATGTCCATTCATTGCAGCTGCTTGGAAAGCAGTTCCATAATAGCCAGCAACTAAATCTATTTGTGCATGTGAATCAAGAAGAAGTTGAACAACTTCTGAATGGCCATTCCCTGTGGCTGCTTGGAGTGCTGTTCCATAATAACCAGCAATGACATTTATTTGTGCATTTGAATTCAGAAGAAGATCAACAATTTTTATGTGACCATGTGCTGCAGCTGCTTGAAGAGCTGTTCCATAATAGCCAGCAGATAGGTTTATTTGTATATCTGGTATGGTAAGAAGTAGCTCCACAACTGCTCTATGACCCCTTGCTGCAGCTGCCTGAATAGCAGTTCCATAATTGCCAGCAACTAAATTTATGTCTGCACCTGCACGTATGAGCCACACTATAAATTCTGTATACCCCTGTAGTGCAGCTGCATGAAGTGCAGCTCCATATTTACCAGCAACTAAATTGACCTGTGCACCACTGCTAAGCAGCTGCTTAATGACTCTTATCTGTTCTCCAACTATAGCTGCCTGGAGAGCTGTTCCATACTGGCCGCCAATTACATTGATTTGTGCACCTGAGAGAAGAAGAAGTTTCACTACTTTTGTATCACCCCTATATGCAGCTATATGGAGTGCAGTTCCATGGTTGCCAGCCACTAGATTGACCTGTGCACCTGAGTGAAGTAGAATCTGGATTATCTCTAGATCACCCTGTTTTGTAGCAGCATGTAAAGCAGTTCCATGCTTGCCGGCAATCATATCAATCTCTGCACCTGCATTAAGAAGAAGCTTGACCATCTCTGTCTGACCACTCATTGAAGCTGCCTGAAGTGCAGTTCCATACTTCCCAGCAACCAGATTGATCTGTGCACCAGATTTAAGCAGAAGCTCAAACACTTCTAAATCCTCATTGATTGTAGCAGCAGCAGCATGGAGTGGAGTTCCATATGTCCCAGATATTAAATTAATCTCTGCACCAGCATTTAGAAGAAGTTTAGTTATTTCTAAATGACCACTTCCAGCAGCTGCCTGGAGAGCTGTTCCATTTTTCTCTGCAACCAAATCTACTTGTGCACCATTATTGAGCAGCATTTTGACAATTTCTAGAGTGCCAGTTGCTGCAGCAGTATAGAGAGGTGGTGGGAAATGCTTATCAAATAAATCTATAAGTGCATCTGAGTTGAGCAGAAGCTGTACAATGTCTTTATGACTATTAGCCACAGCATAATGGAGGGCTGTTGCATATGTCCCATTATGAGAATCTACCTGTGCCCCTGAGGCAAGAAGAAGTGTAACTACTTCTGGACAGTTGTTTGCTGCTGCAATATGGAGAGCTGTTCCATATTCCCTGTCAGCATACTCCACATCTGCTTTCTTGCTCAACAAGATTTTCACTATTTCATAATGTCCATTCCAGCATGCAAACCACATTGCTAATCCTTGATCATCACTTCTCTCATCTGATAGATATTCTACCATATGAATCAGGTTCCCAGCAGCTGCAATGCATAATGGTGTCAGTAGATTTGACTTTCTTTCTAATAGAGACCATAGCCATTGCCAGCTAGACTCTGACCAGCTGTTCCATAGTCGGTGCTGTATCATATATTGTAGAAAGCTGCTCAGATCATCCATTAGTTCAACTTCTGCTCTTCCTATTGCGTGAGCCAGGATATACTGAGCATATGATAGCAGGGGATGACTATAGAGTCTGTCGATATCTATAATATTCTCAGGAGCTGGTAGACAGTGCATATATCTGATAAGTGTTTGTGTGATTGTGACCTCCATATCAATGGATTCCTCAAGCAATAAGTTCTGAAGAGGATCCTGGGCTGTAGGGTGCACAAGACGTATAAGCTTGGTTTCCTTCTCATGGAGTAGAAGGCCATGGCATATATCAATAAGAAGGTCAACTCTGACCATGTGTTTACTTGTTGGCAGTGTTTCATTCACAAGTACCATTGCAAGTGCTGTCTGCAGCTCAATTGCTGTCAATGGTCTTTTTGCATACAAAACCCATCCCAAAGCCAACAGAGCACGTTGTTTATGACTCTTAGGCTGTTGTTTGATGCATTCTATGATCTGTTGATAGCTTGGAGTCAAACTATCAGAAAGACTATCTAGAGCAATTTCTAGTGCCTCCTGTGTAAGAGCTTGACTAAGAAGTGGAAGTTGGAGTTTGACAAACAGAAACCTAGAGCTAGATTAAATCAGATGTTCTCTTGCAGGTGCTTTCACTTACATTCCATTTGCTTGGGATATCATCTTGCTTATGATCTGATCTTTCAGAGTTTCATCCTCAGATATAAATTCCAGGAGAGTAGGATGCTTTTCAATCTCAGTCATGATATAAGTTTTGAGATCCTCTTTATTGACTTCAAGGTCAAGAAAAGTTGTGGATGACTGAGGTAGAGAAGGTAGACCTGAATGAAATCTAGACATAATCATCAAATGCACATTCTCTCCTAGATCAAGAAAATATTCCATGAGTATATCAGGTATGTCATACTCATCCAATGCATCAATGATGATATACACATCACTAAGCTCTTGCAACAGGATTCTGATGAGCTGTCTGATGTTATATGAGCTTATAGATGTGAGACCCTTCTGATATGACCTGATAAGATCAGTAGCATGGTTGAGACTTCTGTCTAAAACCAGTTGCCTCCATACTGCGCCAACAAGATTCTTCACTGTTTGAGACTCAGCTTCTTGGGAATCCAAGTAAAGTACAGCAACCCCAATTCTGGGGTTTTTGTACTGAATTGTGATAAGGAGATCTACCACCCTAGAACTGCAGAGTATATAAGCATCCTAGGTATATCAGATATTGGCAGTCTTACACAAGCACAGTTTTGCCCATACCAGCTGAATCATTCAATACAATAAAATAGCCAAATAATTAAATCAACTTACAAATGCCAGAACACCACAGGATTTTTTTTGGATTTGTCATCCAGTCTGAAAAGCATGGGTGGGCCAAGAGCCATTCACCGGTATTTGCAGTTCGAGTGTTGCAGATTGCTTGGTGTCGACGCCGAAAATCAATATGTGAAAGCCAATGCATAACTTGTACGATGAGTATTGTTAAGTATAATATGGTGGATTGATTTACATTCTATTCTTTCACCACTATACGGCAGGAATGTCATGGATCTATGTCTGTAAGCACATATCTCGTTGAACGGAACAACGGGTATACTGTTGAGTTTCATCGCTCTCTTCCATAAATTCACGCTTCGCAGCTAGCCACCGCTCAGCGTTCGTGATCTCCCAAACAACTGGAGCGACAGACCTCGGAGGACCCTCATGAACTGGGAATCCTGGTGATGGCTCACTGGCATTGTTGCGGGAAGAGACTCGTAGCAGGTCGCGCTGGATGTGGTCGTGGTCAAGAGCAAAAGGGACGCCGCCATATGGCTGTGACACCACCGCCCCACTGTGTGTGAGGCGGTTCCCAGGCCCGTGGGTGGCAAATACTAATTCGGGCAATGCGAGTCATGCGGAGTCACACGGCGACATCCTTGTTTACAAGATCACACTCGCCAGCGCTTAACCACGAACTTGAACTTGAATGCGGACGGGATGTCGACGACTGAGCCGTTCCAGAAGGTGGACGCCAGACTCCGGAGCGGCGGGAGGTGCAAATTTATGAAGCCACTTTTTTTGGCGCCGGGGTGCCAGTGGGTATATATGGGATGTAGGGTTAGCTGGTGATAAGGACAAGCTATGATATTGCACTGGAATCAATGCTCCGCCCGTTCCATGTCCCTCTGTGGCACAGACCGGCTCCTGCGGCCCCCGCTCCCTCTTTGCCAGCCGCTCCGCATTGCTGCACCGGAGTCGCGATGGCCTGAGGTGAAGGGCAGCACGCGTGGCGAGATGCCGGTGAGGGGCGTAATCTACCGAAGGATCAAGTTACATAGACTCGGCAAGACAAACCATCTTCGGACAGGTATGCGCTGACGCCACAAGAGGCCTCTGTAAGGCGCTCGCGTTCTTTCAAGTCCTCTTCCGAGTCGACACCACTGCCTAGAATGGAAACGTTCAGCTATCTCTTGCGATCGCGAAAAAAGCGGCAGACGCACTTCATGCGCCACTAGTAATGCTTTGCCTCCTGACGATGCTCGTTACGTCCAGTACTGGAGGCCGAGGTCCGCGACCAGCGGAGCTCCTTTCGACGTGCGTCGGGGGAGGAAGAGAGCATGACGACGGGACCAGGGCCCGGAAGCAACTGGGCGGGACGGGCCGAACGCAGTTTAGCCGCGCGACAACGAACAACGGACAACGGGACAACGCCACCTCATGGAGACAGTGGCGACGCCGGAGTTTGGACGGGCGCGAGGAGGGGTGTGGTTGCCAGCGAGTTGCCAGCGAGCATACGTCGGGCTTTGGTTACGCTTACGCTTACGCTCATAGTATCCACGCAGCGCCGACTCGCCGAGAGTTATCGCAGCATTCGTTCTCTTTGTCGGCGCTCAGCGCTCAGCCAGAGAAAAGAACAGAAGCTGGCGGAAGGGGCCATCGCCCAAACGATCACCCCCTGCGGACGGGTGATCCGATCGACCCACATCGCATGCTTGGCGCTGTCTATATAAAGCGCCTGCCGGACTAACTTCCCGCTCTTTCTTCCCTTCCTTCACCCAAGCTCTTTGGCCGGCGCCTTTTCTTTCTTCTTTCTTCAGCCTTTCTTTCTTTCCTCCCAACCACCACCACCCACCCCCCTCGTTTATTTCGGCCGGCCGACTACGCTACCTCGCATCTCTCCCCAGTCCACACGCACGAAGAACTCACTCACGATGAAAGTCACCATTGCCACCGTCATCCTCGCGGTTGCCTCCTCCTCGCTCGCGCTCCCGTTCCCGAACCCATTCAGCCGCCGCGGTGGGCCAGGCAAGCGTGGCCTCTGCTGGCCATTCTACAATGCCCCGCTCGACCCCGCCAAGTTCAACGATGGCGGGTCGGTCAACCTCATGTGCGTGCCACCCACTCCTCTTCACTACTTGCTCATATTTACGTCAGCTATGACTACGAGACGTTCCCCCCGCCGTCCTCAAACGGAAACGGCGGGCTGAACTTTATCGGGATGCAGCGCTGCCTCGACTGCGAGTCGTCACCGATCGCACAGCTGCAGGCGCGCCAGAAGGAGCTCGGCTTCTCGACACTCTTCACGCTCAACGAGCCCGACATCAACAACATCTCCCCGCAGACCGCCGCGGCGTGGTACAAGCAGAACATCAACCCGCTCGCGATCAAGAAGGCGCTGCCCGCCATCACATCGTCCACCAATCCTGGCCAGGGGCTCGACTGGCTGAAGCAGATGCTCGACGCGTGTGCGGGGCAGTGCTTCTTCGACTACATCAACCTGCACCACTACGGCCCAGACCTGAAAGCATTCACCGACTTTGTCAACCTCGCCCACTCCCAGCACCCGGATAAACAAATCGTCGTCACCGAGTTTGCTTTGCAGAATCCCGCGGGTGGGCAGGCGGCGCAGGCGGCCTTTTACCGCGACGCGTTCAAGTTTTTGGACGCCGCGCCGTTTGTGGAGATGTACTTCCCCTTCGTGGCCACCACGCCGTCGCTGTTTGCGAAGAACGATGCGGCCGGGGCGGCCTTTGTCGGCACGGGCTCGGCGCTGTATAATGATGATGGCTCGATCAGTGCGGCGGGCCAGGCGATGTTCCAGTAGTGTAACGATCCACTTTTTGTTTTTCTTGGGCCAATTTTATACCTTTCTGCGCCGGTCAATCAAAACAAAAGCAGGCAGCAAACGACATTTGCCTATGACCGTCACCCAGCCAGCGCTGTGTCGAACAGAGATGTGGGTCGTTCCCGTGATCTCCCGAGGGTGCTCTGTGGGTACAACTTGGGGCAACTTAAATTGAACCACTCTGTCGACGTCGGCTTGGAATTCCGCCGCATGAAAAAGCAAAAGTAGATCATCTTTATTCCAGCCTGAGGGCCCGCCACCGCGGCGAACGGTGCGTTGCAGAGGCACATATTCTCGTCTGTTGGCACTGATGCTCTGTCGGGCTGGATTGGGCATTGGCGGGATACTCACCGAATATGCAGATGTCGAATGACTAGAAGCAACAGTGTTCGTTTTGACACAAGTTTGAATCAGGCGCGATCCAACGCAGGTAGTAGTGGTGATGGTACCGGCCAGTTAAGGCTCCAACCAAATACAATACAATACTCAATATATTGGGTTATAACCCAATACAAATATACAGGGTGGCAAAAATTTTGTAGTATAGAGTATATACTGTATACTATTGAGTTTTCTCAGAGGCCTATATAGGCAGTATATGTGGGTCATACAAGGTGTTATAAACTCAAATTCTCTCAGATGAGGCATTTTCTGAGTCTTTGTTACTATACTTTCTGTGACTATATCTGATATCTGACTAAAAGCTCAAATGCTGCTTTCACCACAGCTTCAAACTGACTCAGACACTTAGGGTGCTGTGAGTAATTCCTGAGGAATTACTCACAGCTGTTTCAAAACTGTTTTGAAACACCCCCCATTTCGAAACAGTTTCGAAACCGGCCGCTTACCGGGGCCGGACCACCCGGCGCTCGTAGCCGGCGATGGTTCCAGTCGGTCCGAATCCAGGCCAACTGAGCTTAGCGACAGGAACTCCGCGGAAGTCAGCGACGGCTCGGCGATGGCCTCAGTTGGCCGGCGAGGCCTCAGTTGGCCGGCGAGGCCATGGCATCCGTTGCCGATGGGGTGGTGCAGGTATCCGGGAAGCCATGGGCCGGTCGCCGGAGTCACGTGTCGGTTTCGAAACCGGGTTGACCCCCGGCCGATTTCAAAACTCACACGTGTTTTGAAACCGGTTTCGAAACTGTTTTGAAACACGTTCAACTCACAGCACCCTACAGACACTGACCCAACCAACCAATCTTATTGTTATATTCAATTTTCAGTTATATTGCTGTCAATAGAAATTTATAGCACAGCCAAAGTATAATAATCATAACTCTAGGTTAAACTTCAAAATTTCCATATAAGGAAATTTGATTACAATTAAAATACTGCAAGTATTATAAGAAGAAAATTATAGTCAACTATTGGCAAGACATTTATCTTATTCCTCAGTTTTCTCTTGATCTGATATCTGTGTATTCACTGTTTTACTATTATATTTGACTATTCAAAGCCTTGGGTAAACTCAATATCATCTTTTTGCAGCTCTCAGACCCTCAGGAACTATAACTAAGATATTATTATTGTCCTCAGCATATGGCAGAACTATGCTAGATAGACTAAGATAGTTAATAATGATCAGGATTACAATACATGAGATAATATTCTAAAACAATATATTATCTACTATATACTCAATATATTGGGTTATAACTCAATACTATCCATATCCCAATACAATACAGCCTTGGAGTGTATATGGATAGTAATTAGTTGGAGCCTTACGGCCAGTTTCAAAAGTTGGTGCCACAGATGACAGGAAGATAAAAAAATGGGACACGCTGGCATCATGCCAAGACCCGGCACCGCGGCGAACGGTGCGCTGCAGAGGCACATCTTCTCGTCCGAGTCTGTCACACTGATGCTCTGTCGGGCTGGATTGGACATTGGCGGGATCATGATGCAGATCACCGACTGGGCATGTATGCGCAGATGTCGAATGACGCAAATCAACATTGTTCCGATTCGTTTTGACACGAGTTTGAATCAGGCGCGATTCAACGCAGGTGGTGGTGGTCATTCGTTGTTGTTGTTCAAGTTGTTACACAGTAAGATTGCTTCCCCTCGGGCCTCAAGAAAGCTACTATTGGACTTGACATTCAAGTTGACGACGCCCAAGCACAGCGGAAAAGACATTATTAAGTATACCTTCAAGTTTCTGCGTCGGTCCCGGGTCAATCAAAACAAAAGCAGGAATATGGCCCCGGTTTTCTCGTCGGATATGACCCGGCTGTGTCGTCGATTATTCTCGACTTGTGCCATGGCCCATGGCCAGTGGGTCTCGTGTGCACAGGCCCTCGGGGAGCCACGAACGTCGGCTTGTCATCGCGCCGCATGAAAAACGAAAAGTAAACATACCGCAATGGCTTAGGGCCCGGCACCGCGGCGATCGGTGCGCTCCAGAGATGCATCTTGTGCTGATGGGGCTGGGCTGGGTTGGGCATTGACGGGATGCAGACCACGAACTGGGCATGCCCAAGCGCCTACCATCAAGATTAACATCCCACAAGCAGAATCAGGAAATTTGTTGTCGGCAGCTTGGTTGATGATGCATTATTGAACTTTTTGACTGCTTGAACAGCTTTTACCGTAAAAGAATTCATCTATCTCCCTGCCGGGGCCACACCGCGATCGCGACATTCCGCCCGCTCCCCGTCGCCTGGTTAAACAAGTTCACCGCTCCCACCTCCATCTCTCCCTCCAGCTGCTCCGCGACCCACACCACTCGATCCGCCACAATCACGCTCTCCACCAACGGGCCCACGAGGCAGCGCAGCACATGCAGCGCGCCCAACCCAGCCATCCGCCGCTTCTCCCCCGGCGCCAACTCGCTTTCAAGCGGCACGCCGAGTTTGGCGCTGGCAGCGGCGGTAAATGTCTCCCAGGTATCGTAGACCGCGTTGTTGAGCCGCCCCAGTCGGCGCATAACGGGCTTGTCCCCCGTCCCACTCGGTGCACCCGGGGTGTCTTGCTGCAAGTTTTCGCGATGGGCGAGCCGCCCGCCGAGAATGGCGCGCCAGACGACTTTGCGGAGCGCAAGCTTGGAGTCGGCCCAGGCGGCGGGCGAGCGTGCCCATTCTGCGGGGATCTGCGCTGCGAGGTGGTATGCGGAGCCGGGGAGGGTGGTTGGCGCGAGGGAGCGGAGATGTGTTGAGAGGGGAAAGTCTGCGAGTCGATCAGTAAAATAACACAATAGTCTTTCCGGTCTTTTCAGTCCTTAGTGAAGATCAAAAGGACCTCACCAAAGACCGAAAAGACCTGAAAGAGAAAGGACACCAAGTTCGATATATGAATAGACTTACCGCCTGGCGCGAGGAGGTTGTAACAGCAGCCTACCGCCAACACACCGACTGGCCTCCATCGAGATGATTGGCGTCGTCGTTGCTCGAAGACAGCGCGGAAGATGTCGGGCGTTAGCGAACCACACGCATGCAGCGCGACAAATAGCACTGGTTGCTCTTCATCTTCGCCAATCCAATCGTCCACCGCAGCCAATAGTGTGTCCGGTTTAATGTAGATCGTCCGCTGTGCAATCTGACCGTCTCGTTTGTCCCGCGCCATCATCTTAGCCGCACCTGCAGTCTGCACCTCGTTGAAGTCGAGCGCCAGAAGCTGCACATCCACGTTGGCGGATTGGAGGTAAGTCTGGAGCGCGCGCGTGAGGTAGCCCTGGCCAGAGCCCACATCAACGACACGGAGTCTTCGTGTTTCATTGGCGGTGAAGAGCTTGGGGAGTAGCGTAGACATATAGGCGATGCATTGGCGGACCTACTGTGTCTTCATTAGGTTACAGCATTGACAGAGATTAGAGACGCACCTCATGCAACTTCTTCGGCGACAAACCGGTGCTCTCCACTTCCACTCCGCTCCCATCGACCGTACACGCCCGTGGGAGGGCCAGCTGTACGAGGTCGTCGATAAGGGATCGGATTTGCTCCGGCAACTTCAAGTTTTTCGAGTTGCTGCCAACTTCTTCCTCGTAGTCGTCGGCAGAACGCCGGCGATACTGGGACATGTAATACTCCAAAACGCCCTCCCAAAGGTCCTCTCCTCGCCCGCCATTGTCTTCGTTGTCTTGCCCGCTGACCCATTCGCACCACCATTCCTCCCCGAATACGTCCTTTTGGTCTGACTCTGCTGCTGTCCAGCTGCCCAAATCGTTTGGGTGCGTCGCTAGCAGGGTCTGCACGAGCGGGGACTGCAGCAGGGCAAGTGCCGGCGCGAGCGCGGTGCGCAGGTCCTCGGGCGGCATGTCCATCGTCGTGGTGGTGAAGAGAGAAGATTGCGTGGCGGTGCATTCGGCCTATCAGTACTTTTTTCAAGGTTTTCGGCCCAGGCGATGTCCATCCTACCTCCGAATTAGGCCCATATTTTATCAGTGTATGTCCACTGCCCTCAAACCGGTACCGACGATCGCGAAAAAGATTAGGTTGTCCGGACTCCATGAGCAAGCGATGCGGCGAACGCTGCGTGGCAGAGGCCAGTGAGCGAGCATCTACAGACATACTGGATGCTGCCTGCCAGTGCCAGCATTCGCCATCCTCAAAGTTAAACTTTGAAGTACTTAAATTACTCGGAGTCCATGTTCAACTTGCTATCTTCCCAAAGTCGCACTACTCCGCAGAAAGTAAGAGCCTCAGCCTGGCCTACCCAAAAAATTCCAACTCATCCACCGAAAATCATGGCAAAGACCGCCCCGCGTCGAACGGTGTCACTGTGGTTGTGCATAGAATTCTGATTTTTATTTTGCTGCAATATGGATACTCTGCGCGCCACGACTGGGTCTGCCAGTGCGCAGCAATAGGAGCATTTGAGGGTAAGTTGTTTGGCAGGATGAGTCACAACATGACTGACGATCATCGTCACTCCGGCCCTCACACTTGCTCTCAGCCACCGGCTCTGCGCGCCGCTTTGACAAACCTGATGCTAGCATGAAACCACCATCGGGGGCTCCTTGATACCTCATCGCGGGTACTGGTGATGCCTCGATCCGCGTCATGCATTCAGTTAACTGTTAGGCGATGGGAAGCACGCGAATCACCGCGTCGGTCAGGTATATAAAGCGGGAGGACATCACGGCGCCGGCGCACTCTTTTCTTGTTTCTTTCTGCCCCCATCTCGCTTTTTCACGACCCCTTCGCGTCTCTCGTTCACCGCTACCTACCTTCTTTTTCGGCCGGCCGACAATCAAGCATGCAGCTCACTCTCCTGTCCTCCGTCCTCCTCGCCCTCTCTGCCTCTGTGTTCTCCGCGCCTGTGGAGGTGTCGCTTGCGACGCGCAGCGGCCCGGGCAAGCGCGGCCTCTGCTGGCCGTTCTACAATTCCCCACTCAACCCCGCCAAGTTCAAGGACAGCTCCAACTCGGTCAACCTCATGTGCGTTCTCCATTTAACTCATTCCAGTGAAAACTTACATATGGATAGCTATGACTACGAGACCTTCGCCCCGCCGTCCTCAAACGGCGCTGGCGGGCTCAACTTTATCGGCATGCAGCGCTGCCTCGACTGCCAGTCGTCGCCCATCTCGCAGCTCCAGGCGCGCCAGAAGCAGCTGAAATTCTCGACGCTGTTCACGCTCAACGAGCCCGACATCAACGGGATCAGCCCACAGACTGCGGCGGCGTGGTATAAGCAGAACATCAACCCTCTGGTGCGTGGGCAGACTGCTATCGATTCATTTTTGCTAATCAAACGATGCAGGCCATTAAGAAGGCGCTCCCCGCCGTGACGTCCTCCACCAACCCCGGCCAGGGCCTCGACTGGCTGCAGCAGATGGTGGCCGCCTGCAACGGCCAGTGCTTCTTCGACTACATCAACATTGTGTGTCGTCTTTCTTACTTCCATATTCTATACTCACCATCCTCCCCAGCACCACTACGGCCCGAACCTGCAGGCCTTCAAAGACTTCGTCAACAAAGCGCACGCGCAGTTCCCCGGCAAGCAGATCGTCGTGACCGAGTTTGCGCTGCAGAACCCCGCGGGCGGGCAGGCAGCGCAGGTCGCGTTTTTCCGCGACGCGTTCAAGTTCTTGGACGGCGCGTCGTTTGTCGCGATGTACTTCCCCTTTGTCGCGACCACGCCCGCGCTCTTCGCCAAGAACGACGCGAACGGCGCGAAGTTTGTGGGCACCGGCTCGACGCTGTTCAATAACGACGGCTCGGTCAGTGCGGTGGGCAAGTTGATGCTGGCTTGAGTGGTCAATCTGATTATTTTTTTAAATTCATGTTTTGGGTATTTGGACTCCGGATCTTATGGAACGTCTTCTCCCTTGAACACGGAATATCCCTCGAATATCGAGAGTGGGACTGGCACTGGCTGGTGCTGATTAGTGGGAGTGGGCCAAGTCTCACTCCCACTCAGGCTGGTTTCGTCACCCCTTAGGACATATAACTAACCAGCAACCGTTTCACGCCGAGGCTAGGGAAAGGCTACCTCAAGGGTACCTGTAGGATTATCGCTGCTGCGGATGGTCGGAAGGTTTCACCATGTGTTTTCGCTGATGCCGGGGGTTTCATCAGATATTGCTGTGTCCCTCCGTGCCCTATAAAACCAACGCAGAAAAGCGGTAAAGCACAGACCACATCGTTCTCAACATGCAATCCCCACTCATCCGCCTTGCCCTGCTGCTCCTCGCTGCGGCCAGCGCCCACGCCGCCGCTGCCCCCGTCACACATGACGCCCGGGTCCTCGTCGAACGGCAGTGCAGCTGCCGCTGGGTCGGGGGCGAACAAGTCTGTACCGGTTCCAAGTGCCCCTAGTCAAATCGCGCCCGTCGTCGTTGTGAGTCATACTCAAATTCTCGATTCGAATTCGGTCTGACGCCTGCATCAGGAAAATGACAGTGTTGATAGTTACAACCACAATCTTTTCCGTCAGACACAACGAATACTTATTTCCGTTTAATTGTGATTATGGTCAATTATTGCTCCTTGTGTCAAGTTTTGTTGTGGAGACTCACCTTGAACTCAAATTTAAACTGAAATAACTCAGGTCACTGTACATTTTAGTATCGGCATTTGTACAGCGTGCACTGGGCTGTTTCCACAATTTTTTCCCTGTGAAAAGTTAGGTCAAAAATTTGAAATTTTTAAATAAATTTTTTCTAAGTCAAAATTTGAACCTTTTTGACAACTTTTGCCTGAAAAATGTCAGAAAAAAAAAACTTCAAGTTTTTTACCTGATTATTACTAAGAAAAATTTCATACTAGAAAAAACTAGGACAAGATATTTATTCAAGTGCTCGAAGGACAATTACTCGAAATCCATCTTCCGCAGCGTCGCCCAGTCTTCCAGGCCAAAATACGAGGGCAGCTTCTCCCAAACGTCTTTGCGCGCCGCGTCGAAGCTTGCTTTGGCCTTTGACAGGCAGCTTGCGCACTGTGTGTTATCCCATGCGCCGGAGGCCCACGGCTGCAGCTGCATCGCCACAAGGTCATGGTCCAACAACACTTGGATGAGGATACTGTTCCGAAACGACGCGCAGCGCGACGCAGTCGCACACCCGGCCCACGATATGCTCGATTGCGCCCCAAGCCAGCTGAATGGCCCATCCGCGAAGGTCTGCGACATTTTGACGTATGCTTTCAGGCACGCGACCTCGTCCTGCTTGTCGTTGAGCTTCGCCAAGTCATCACCAAGAAGCTGGTGGGCCGTGAGTAAGTAAAGTAACGCGCCTCCAGACGAAGCCACATACCCCTTTGTGCCCTTCGTCATCGAGGAGCTTGTAGAAGGCACCGGGCAGAATCGAGTAGAGCCCGAGCTCTCGCGCCAGATTGATGATTTCGACACATGCGACGGTCGTTGTCACGGTGTCCGGGATGCTGAAGTGGGTCCACACAAGCGTCTGCTTGTCGAAGTCCTCGAGACTAGTGGGGAACTCCATCTTGAGGAGCCCCAGACAGTGTCTCCGCAGCCCGGCCATGTCGTACTTCTTGCTGAGTCGCAAGATAGCGCAGATCGGCGCTACGAGCGGACGCGCGGGGTTATAACATCTAGAGCTCGGTATTCATTGTCAAGAGAGCTCTAAAAAAGATGGCTTACTCTTGGGGGAACATCGCACGCAGAAGATACGTCCAGTCCTGACTCGTGTCCCCGGGTAGATCAACGACGGGGCAGCCTTCGACTAATGGCTCATCTGGAGGCAACGGGAGCGAGAACATGTCGCGAAAAACGGGTGAGTGCATCGCGAGAAACGACCGGGTCAGCCGGAACTGGGTCGACTGGACTTGCAGGATGACGTTCCCATCGTCAAACCAGTATTCCGTCGAGCGCACAATGACGGGCTGGTCGCCCTCATCTTCCGACTCCGTTCGCCGCCGTTTTGCAGGCGGTGCCGACGACATGGACGTTTGGGACAAAGACTCAGAAGTGACAAAACGTGAACGGCAAGTTCTGGGCCGCGCACGTTGGCAGTTCGAACCTCACCGTAGTCATTTTATTATGTGCCTTATCATGTTCACGCGTCCACCACATTCAGTCAAGGCCCGCCGGCGTGCCGCCGGCCACAAAAGATCCATTCAGCTCAGCGAGGGACAATCCGGATGGAGAATAACTACACCTTATCTTTTCAGCACCTACTTAGAAGGCCGCCACATCAGAGTCACGCCACGGCGTCGTCACGGCGGACGGTCACTGACGGACGGTCACGGACCTGCTTGTCAGAAAACCCCATGTCGTCAGAACCACCAGCGAAGAGAGGACGAAGGCCCGGGAGAAGACGCGCAAGTGATACAGCGCTCAAAGACTTACTGGTTCGACGACGGGAACGTCATTCTGCAAGCTGGGTCGGGCCAATTCCGCCTCAGCAAATCGATCCTCGCCATGCACTCGCCCATATTTCGCGACATGTTCTCGCTCCCGCTGCCGTCAGACGAGCCTCTCGTCGAGGGCTGTCCCGTCGTAGTCCTAGCCGGGGACGCCAGCGAAGACTGGGAGCATCTTCTGCATGCAATCTTCCCTACAGAGTGCGTGGCATGAGCACGCAGATGACTAATCTACGACCGCTTTCCACAGGTGCTTTTACCCCCGTGCCAGCCCGACCGTGACGCAACTGCTCGCTGTCCTGCGCCTCAGCAAAAAATACGACATCACTAGTTTCCGCAAACACTGTGTGGGTATTCTTAAGCAAGAGTTCCCGACGAGTCTCTCCGAGTACGAAAAAATACGGGGGGCATGGTTGCACATATTCGTCCCCCCCGACACGGACACGTCTGCGGTCTGTGTCCAAGTCATCAACCTCGCACGCGAGATCGGGCTGTACTCCGTTCGATGAATAGCTGGATATATACCAGGGGACGGTCAGCCGCCAAAAATATGTATGTTGTTTTTCTTGAACGCGTTCAATCATCTTGGGACTTGGACTGATAACTGCGAAAGTTGACTAAGTGGATTATCCAGAATTTTACCCAAGCGGGGTAAGCCTGAGTGGGGACCGAGCGGGACTAACACTACTTATACGTCGGACTCGTCGCCGGCCCCGAGTCTGGGTCCCGGATCATCCGGCGGCGGCCCCTGGCCGCTCGATGCACTCGATCACCGTCGACTTGAATCGATCCAATCGATAAAGTCCCCATACCTACGCCACGCCCCAACGGTGTGGCGTGCTTGCATCTCCCCACCACAAGCTTTGCTTTTCTTCTCCCATAGCGCTCTAACAACCAATGTCTGCCGCTCAAAGAATATACATCAACGCTGGAGGTACGCACCGGCTGGTCCGGATGAGTATATACGAGAATAGTAGGACTGGGACTCGCACAGTAGGACTCAGTCCTACTTTGATGGGTCCCAGTCCTACTCCCGCGGCCCCGGAATGGGACTCGCTTCCCACAAATCAACCACACGTTGATGGATCGACAACTGTCGCATCAATAGGGTTGCGGCGCCGGCCGCGGCGGCCGGGGTTTTCCACCCCGGACCCCGACCAGGGGCTTCGCCCTGGACCCACCCTGCCGGGGGCTTTCGCTCGCCGCGGGGCCCGCTGCGCGGAGCGTGGGACCTCCTTCCGGCGACTTGTTTGCTGTTTCAATGTCATAAGCACCTTTTTTAACGGGGTGGCGGCGCCGGTCGCGACGGCCGGGGTTTTCCACCCCGGACCCTGACCAGGGCTTTGCATCGGACCCCACGCTGCCGCGGGCTGCCGTTCGCCACGGAGGCCCGCTGCGCAGCGGAGCATCATTCATTTGTGTTTGATTGATTTTGTGATCTTGAGTGTCGTTTTATCACTCGGCTATGCACTGTTGGCAGCGTCCACATGCCATCTATCATATCAAAGTAGGACTGGGCTCATCAAAGTAGGATTCAGTCCTACTTGGTGAGTCCCACTCCTACTATTCTCGTTACTGCTCGGTCCAGATTTCACAGCGCAGATCGGCGTCGCTGAATGCACGTGTCTAGGTGGCATCGGCGGGGCGGGTGGGGGCGGAACGGCCCGGGGCGGGCACGGCGGCGCAGGGGAGGGGGCCCAGCTCCACTTTTTCGGGCGGCGGGAACCACAAGTAAGCACCAGTGCGCTCGTCATTGCATCACGATGCTCATAGCCGCCCAGCATCCAGGTCTATCACGGGCCGCGCAAAGGCACACGTCGTCTCCCGTCTCCCGTCCCACATGCTGACCCAAAGATGGTACAATCAGACGAGAATGCGGAGTTCCTGGAGCTCGCCGCGTGGCTCTCACCGCTCAGCTTCGGGCCGCGGCACCAGGAGGTCAGCGCGACGCGGACGAAGGACACCGGGGAGTGGCTCCTCCAAACCAAGGAATTCGCCAGCTGGAAGGCAGGCACTGGAGGCGTTCTCTGGTGCACCGGCCACCGTAAGTCTGCCACCAATCTGAGGGCGCTGTGTGCTTATAGAGGATATCTTTGCAGCTGGCGTGGGGAAGACTGTGCTTGTGTATGTGCCTAAAACTCTCAGATTCCAAAATCAAACAAAAGTTGCTGACTTGTTTTTAGGTCAAAGGTCATAGATCATTTTCATACTCTTGCAGCAGTGGGAACCTCTGTTGGTCTTGCACATGCCTATCTCAACTATAAGGACATTGATGCCCAAACACCAGCACATGTGCTAGGTGCCCTCTGGAAACAGTTTGTCCATGATGATGACAATAATATTGACAAAGCCAAAGCCTTGCATAGCTCTCATCAGAGACAGGGAACCAAACCAGCTCTGGATGAGGTCCAGGCACTGGTTACTTCCAGCATTTCCCAGTTTGAGAAGACATACATCATTGTTGATGCCCTTGATGAATACACACAGAACAAGTGGCATCTCCTCCTGACCAGTCTTCTGCAGCTAGGAAATGATATCAACTTGCTGGTGACCTGCAGGCCACACATTGTTCCCTCCTCTGAGCTCTCCATTACGGCTATACAGATTGAAGCCAATGAAACAGACATGAAACACTTTATACTGGCCCAAATTCAGGAGCACCATCATCTTGCAGACCTGGTCAAGAAGAATCCTTCCTTGGAACAGCATATTATGAAGAAGATGCTAGGAAAGGCCAGGGGCATGTAAGTCATCTAATAGTATATATAACAGTTAAAATAACAAGCTTGTACAATGTAGGTTCCTATTAGTTAAGCTCCAGCTTGAGCTGCTCTACTCTGCTGTGACATTGCAAAAAGTCAAGACTGCCCTAGACAATCTGCCTGATACTTTAGAGAATGCCTATAAAGAGGCACTGCAGCATATTGGCAAACAGCAGAAAGAGTTCAAAAGAATTGCACTGGCCAGTCTTGTCTGGACTAGCTATGCAAAGCGTCCACTAACAGTACAAGAGTTACAGGCAGCACTAGCCATTATGGAAGATGAGACAGTCAAGCCCACTCAAGACAGTGTTGTGGAAATAGGTCATATCCTTGCCTGGTCCTGTGGCCTCCTAGTCAAAGATAAGAAAAATGATGTGATACAGCTGGTACACTATACTGCACAACAGTTTCTTGCAGAACCCCTTGCTCTAGAGTTTCCGAATATTCAAGTGATCATTACCAAAGCCCTGCTTGTAGATTGGTCAAATCACAGAAAAGTCCTGACAAGATCTGGGACCCCATTCTCTCTCTCAGCTTATTCTCCAAACCTGCTGCTACATGCAGTGGGGCAGCCAGAGTTAAAGCTTACCTTTGACTTGCTAGAGTTCCTTGGGGAAATAATCTCACAGGGAGTTGGCAATTATTTCATACCCTGGAAGATGCCTAGAAAGTCTGGAGGTGGCCGGTCTCAATATAGTAGGAGGACAGCATCTATGAACTTTCAGTATACAGTTCTGGAGATTACAGCTGCAGGAAATCTCTATCATTTGACTCACTTTCTTATAGAAAATGATCTATGTGATGAGGGATTAGAGCTTATAGGAGCAGCCATGAATGGACATACATCTGTGGTAAAGCAGCTATTGAGACTTGATCCACTGATAGATGTGATGGATCAGAATCAAATGACAGCATTGATGGCAGCCTCTGCGGCAGGGCATACAGAAGTTGTTCCACTGCTTCTTGATGCAGGAGCAAATACAGACAAAGTTGGTGGTAAACATGGAACTGCACTGCAGGCAGCCTCAGCACATGGGTTCAAGCACATTGTCCAGCTTCTGATTGCAGCAGATGCAGATATAGATCAAGTAGGTGGTGAGTATGGATCTGCACTGCAGGCAGCATCATACAATGGACACAGGGAGATTGTGGAAGTTCTGCTTAAGGCAACAGCAGAAGTAAATGCAGGTGGTGGCTATTATGGGACTGCCATTCAGGCAGCATCATCCAAAGGATATACAGAGATTGTAAAGCTTCTCCTCAAAGCAGGAGCTGATTTAAATGCAGGTTCTAGTCATTTTGAAAATGCATTGCAACTAGCTTCTTCTTATAGACACAATGAGATTGTCAAACTTCTTCTTGATGCAGGGGCTTATCTCAACTATAGTCACTATAGAAGTGCTTTACAGGCAGCCCTGTTTAATGGAGATCAGGACATGATACTGCTTCTTCTCAGTATTGCACCTAATCTTGAGGCAGTTAGTAATTTCTATAAACCTGAAGTCCAAGGAGCTTCTCAAATAGTGGAAAATATTCTCAACTCTGCATCTGATTCTTGTCGCAAGATTGAAATACCTGCTGGAATATCTACCACAACTGACACAATGGTCTATTATGAAGCACGACAAGCTGTATCATCTGATCAGATTGTTAAATTACTCTTTCAGACAAAAGAAAATAGCAATACAATACCTGGTGCGCAGAGAAACTCAAAAACTATAACAAGACCATATAAGTACAGATTCTGATAGTGATTCTGATGTTATGTATACAATATATACTTTGAAATTTCTATGTCAATTAGATTATCAATTGAGATGACATTAGTCCTTCAAAGTTTTAGAAAAGCTCTAGGTATAGTTTTTTTTGACAAATGTCACTAGCTATTGCTAGCAGAGTGGTTGTCAAATTTCCTAGCTATATAGCTCATGAGCTGAAAATGTTAGGCCAAACCTGTCAGCGTCAGGCTTGGGCCGTACTGTAGTAATCTATTCAATTCGGCGCCCCAAAATGGTGTGACATCGGCGCCGAAATTAAATTTTCGGCGCTGCCTGTCGATGTGTGTGACAGCCGAAATTTTTCGGCCTATTTAGGCCGCTAATTTTTTTTTTAATACTTTGATGGGCATTTGACATTCGGCATCTGGCTGTGGGCCCGTAACACGCCGAAATATTTCGGCACCGGAGGGCCGGTGTGACACGTGACTGCCGAATTGAATAAATTGCTACAGTATTGGGTCGTTGGGTCGTCCACCTTTCACACAGCTCATTCACTCAGGAATACTAATAAAAACATGGCTACTGGTGAAGGGCTGTACTCATAAAACCTGGGGAAGGGCTCAAGGGTCACAAATGTCACACTTTTTTTAAAAAAAGCCATGATATTCATTTTTGGGTGTTAGATCATGGTATTGATGATGGGATTGATAATGGGATTGATAGCATCAACATAAAGTGATCAATGTGGAATGATTTTGATGGACATCAGTACCATTGATGGCTATGTCAGAATACATCAATTTTAGCCTAATTAGGATGTATACCTTTGCCCTAGATCACAGGCCTACCTAGATGTTTATCTGGGTCTTCAGCCTGAAAAAATGGTGATTTGCCTTTCCATATCTGGTAATAGCTTAGCATAGCTGTCAAACTCATTGAGATATTCACAATTGATTGAATGTCACATTTTTGTCACAGTACTCCAGCCATAGCTGGCATGAGCTCCCCCAGGTTTTATGAGTACAGCCCTTCACCAGTAGCCACAGTTTTATTAGTAAAACTGAGTGGACATCCTGTTTCACAAGGGTCTAGGGAGCATGAGAGGACAGGTGTTAGCCCGGAGAATAAACTGTCAGGGGAACCTCCCTTTCGGCCCCTCGGAGACGCCTCCGATTCCGGTCCAACTCCGGTTCCGTCTCCGGTCCGGCCCTCCATCTCGCCCGCACAATCACCGATCCGTCAACGCCCTCCCAACGGTCGCCCTGGGACCTTGCCTGCGACGCCGCCCAAGCCTTCTGTGCCCGACAGCGGCAGCTACGGACAAGCAGTATATAGTCAGCTCCCTAGCAGGCGGACCCTTAGAGTTTCTTCTCTTTGGATCCTCCCCTGCTAGGTCAGCTTCATTTGTATTTGCTTACCAATGTTCACGCTTTGGATCCTCCCCTGCTAGGACCTTGATCTCAGGCCTCCGGGGTTGCCCTTACAGCAGAAGAAACTCTCTACGGGATCAACCGGACAAGATTGCTAGGTTCGGCGCTGACTCAGGCTCGGAATACGAGTCCGTTCCGCCCTCGTCACCGCCCCTACCACTTGTCCCCTCCTCCTCTGTCACTCCTGTCGTCCCCGCACCTGTCATGCCTTCCGGAGCTACTCCTGACGCTGACACTCGGCTGGATGCACTCGAGGCGAAAATCGACCACCTAACTGAGGCCCTTACTCTTCTCACCACCCAGGCTTCCGCTGCCGCTGCCGCCGCTAATACTGCTGGCGGACCCCAAACAACACCACCCCCGGAGACGTCGATTCCGACTCCGACTCCGGTTCAGGGCGATTCCGAGGCCCTCTTTGGCGACATCAACCTCGCCTCAAAATTGCTAAAGTATTTCCTCTTCAGGCAAGTGCAATTTAATAGAGCATACCCACGGGCCAAGTTCTCATAGCGGGGCCCAACCTGCAAGCTAGGAGCCCGGCTAGCGTTAGATAAGCTAGCACGGGAGCGCTCGGCACTCGCTGAGATGATGACGTCATTGTCAGCTTTGCTCTCTCTTGCCATCTGTGCCACCTTGTGTTGCCTCAGGACCCTCAAGTGCAGTCTTTTCAGTGTTGCAGCTAGGGCCCTAAGTGATAGGGCCCTACGATGGCCCTATGGTAGGGCCCTAGCCGAAGGTCCTCGACCTGTAGGGCCCTAATAGGGCCTTACGACGTCACGTGTCACGGATCATTATGGCCAGATACCAACCGACCACATTCGCGCCAGCGCTCCGCCTTCCTCGACTCAAAAAATGGCCCAAGATGACCCTCAAGAAGCTCTTGAGTCTTCCTCGGCTGACGCGCCCCCACCGGGCCACCAGGTCCACATCAGGAGGATATTGAGGTTCAGGGAGCAATGGATGTGGCTGAGGCAGTAACAGAGGTAGCAGAGGACGCGATTCCGGATGATGGCGGCGTCTCGGATGAGGAGTACATAGAGTAAATTGTGTTTGCACAAAAATTTCCTTTTTTGGCACTTAGGGCCCTATGGCCAAGGCCCTATATAGGCTGATAGGCCCAAATAGGGCCCTAGCCTCTGAGATTTCGGAAATAGGGGCCCTACCTGCATCACTGATTCTTTTCACTGTCTTACAACCTACCCTCAACTGGCAACACACCTCCTGACCCACACACACACACACTCTTCCCTTATGTATTGTGTTTGCGACATAGAGGCTGTGCCATGCTTTAAGTCCTCTCTATTCACACGTGGCTATGTGTTGTGTAAGCAGCATAGAGGCTGGATCATCAAGGCCACAAGGCTCTGCACCCTCAAGATTTTGTTTCACACTCTGATCTGGTTATGTGTCCCACCAGGGACCTGGGCACACTCCTATTACCCCTTTCTTTCCTATTGTCAGGGGAACCTCCCTTTCGACCCCTCGGAGACGATTCCGATTCCGGTCCGACTCCGGCTCCGACTCCGGTGATCGCATCACCGCCTCCGTCAGGCGCATCGCCGCCCCCGCCTGGCGATCCCCCTGGGACCTGGCCTGCGACATGGCGCAGGCATACTGCACGGAGCAACGATCAACCTTGGCGCGTCAAGAGCGCAGTATATAGTTCCGCTACCTAGCAGGCGGACCCTTAGAGTTTCTTCTCTTTGGATCCTCCCCTGCTAGGTCAGCCTCACTTGTATTTGCTTACTTCTATTCACTCTTTGGATCCTCCCCTGCTAGGACCTTGATCTCAGGCCTCCAGGGTTGCCCTTACACCTATCTCTTCTTTCTCCCACACTCCACTCTTCCTATTCATCTTCTCTCCACTCTCTGTCGCAGTGCTCTGGTGGGGGTGTCTGTCGCCGCCTTGCGTTTGCCGGCCGCGCTTTGCTTGGGAGCGCTGCTCCTTTTGGGGGGCCCGGCTGCTCGCTTCTGGCGCCGTCGTCACCCAGTCTTGCATCGCACTGGCTGCAGGCTGCACTTGGCATTCTCAGGCTGAAGTGACTCATTGCGGCCTCGTGGCTGTGCCAGACACGCCTCCACCCATGCGTGATGCGCCGTGCATTCACACATGAATTTTGCCCCCCCCCTTGTCTCTTCGGAGATGTTCTATGCCACCTACATACCTATGCTATGACACATGTACACCGAGCGCGACGAGCTAGCTTATTGTTCAGCTAAACTATGGCGGGACAGATGCTGGGAAGGAAATTATCCAGCTTCACAATTTCCCAAGTATATCAGATCAAGGACCCCTTATCAGCGAATTTATACTCCCACGAGACGAGGACACGGTTGTCGGGCGCCGGCCCGAGATCAGCGAGCTGTCGGACGGCGGTCGCACGGTCGTGCCAATCTGTCGGCATACTTACATTGTTGGCTACTGCGAACCGCGGTGCAGCAAAGGGTGCCAGTGGGCCGGGTGCGCCGGCGGAGCGCAGGCCCAAACGCCGACGCTAGTAGCAGGCGCTTTGCCTCCCCCGGTCGCCGGGCTTCGCTGGCGCCAAGCCACGTCAGCGGGCGTGATTGGCAGGTGCCGAGTACGCCGGCGGCGCCAGAAGAGTGGGCTGCTCGGCGAGCTCGGAGGTCGTCACGACCCCGGGCAGGCTATTTACGGGGCCCATCTTTTCCTTCCGTTGCTTCCCTTCTTATGCTGCTGCTCGCCGTCCTCGCGCTGCTGCTCGTGCTGTACCTTATCTTCCGCGACTTCCTCGCGCTGCTGATAAGGCAGGCGCGCTCGCCGCTGCGCACGCTGTCCGGCCCGCCGCCGACGTCGCTCCTCACGGGGAACCTCGCGGCGCTGCACGACCAGGAGAACACGGACGTCGTGCTGCGCTGGGAGGCGGCGCACGGCGCGGCGTTCGTGTACCGCGGCTTCGTCGGCGGGCGCCGCCTGCTCACGACCGACCCGCGCGCGCTCGCGCACATTCTGGGGAGGGCGTACGACTACCCGAAGCCGGGGTTCGTAAGGGAGAGCCTCGCGGCGATGGCGGGCGGGGACGCGGGGCTGCTGGTCGTCGAGGGCGAGGTGCATCGCAGGCAGGTGCGTGCGGGGATCCCCACCCGGGCTCGTTTTTGATTTGATTTTATTTTTTTTCTGCAGCGGAGCATACTCGCCCCGGCGTTCACGGCGGCGCACGTGCGCTCGCTGGCGCCCGTGTTCTGGGCGAAGGCGGGCGTCCTGCGGGACGTCTGGCTCGCCGCGGCCGACGCGGCCCCTTCCCCTTCCCCGCCCTCGCCCTCGCCCGGCCCCGGCGCGTGGACGCCCCCGGCGGGCAGCACGCGCATCGACGTGCTGTCGTGGCTCGCGCGCGCGACGCTCGACGCGGTCGGCGAGGCGGGCTTCGGGTACGCGTTCCACGCGCTGTCGACTAACGAGGAGGACGAGCAGGACGAGCTCGCGCGCGCGTTCGCGGACATATTCGCGACGGCGCGGCGCTTCCGCGTGATGACGATCCTGCAGGCGTGGTTCCCGATACTCCGCCGATTCGTGCGTCATTCTTCCCCGGTACTGTTTGGCGGCTGATGACGGGGGGTAGCGGCGGAACAACGCGGTGATGGCGCGGGCGACGGCGACGATGCAGCGCATCGGGGCGCGCCTGGTGGAGGAGCGCAGCCGCGCGGTGCTGGCGGCGCAGACGCACGCGCAGACGGACACGTCGCTGGTCGCCGGGGACAAGACCGTGCTCGGGCGCGACCTGCTCAGCGTGCTCAGTGCGTCGTGTCTTCTCCCCGCTTCCACTAACTCATTCCCCTCCGCGCAGTCCGCTCGAACATGTCCGCGCCGACGCCGGCCGCCGCGCTCTCCTCCGCCGAGGTGCTCAGCCAGATCGCGACCTTCATCGCGACGGGGCACGAGACCGTCGCGTCCGCGCTCACCTGGGCGCTCTACGCCCTCGTCCGCGCGCCCGCCGTCCAGGCCCGCCTCCGCGCCGGCCTGCACGCGCTCGAGACATCCGTGCGCGCCGCCCGCCCCGGCGCCCCCGACGCGGCGCTACGGGACGCGCTGACGGACGCGGTGCTGAGGGACACGTACCTCGAGCACGTGCTGCGCGAGGTGCTCCGGCTGCACGCGCCGATCGCGAACACGATGCGCGTCGCGGCGCGGGACGACGTCATCCCGCTCTCCGCTTCCCCTTCTGATGCTGATGCCGGGGGGCTCGGGCTGCCGCCGGCGCGCGACCGCGCGGGGAACGTGCTCTCGTGCATCCGCGTGCGGAGGGGCGACATCATCACGGTGCCGATCCAGGCGGTGAACAAGAGCCGCGCGATCTGGGGGCCGGACGCGGGCGAGTTCGACCCGGAGCGGTGGGCGGACGGGCCGGGCACCGCAGGGGGGAAGGAGGCGGATGGGCGGCGGCGGGTGCCGGGGCTGTGGGCGCACACGCTGACGTTCCTGAACGGGAACGGCGGCGCGGAGGGGAACCGCGCGTGCATCGGGTGGCGCTATGCGCTCGCTGAGTGAGTGTTTTCTGCTTCTTTTTTTTTCTGGCAGGAGCCGCGGCTTCCGCTTCTCCCGCGCCGCTTCTCGCCTCCGATCGCCGCCGCCCGCCGCTGACGCCGTTCGCAGGATGAAGATCATGCTCTTCGTGCTCGTGCGCGACCTCGAGTTCGCGCTCGACCCCGCGACCGTCATCGAGAAGCGCGTCAAGTGAGTGTTGTCTTTTTCCCTCTCTCTCTCTCTCTTCCTTCTCCCGCCATTGTCTTGGTTCTCTGGTTCTCTGGGTCTTGCCGCCGTCCGACGACCCCGGCGCGCGCGGTTCTAGCCCGGATTGTCGCGCGCACGTCGGGGTCGCTCGCTGCTCGCTGCCTGCTGCTCCGCGGGCGGGCCAGCCCAGCCCCGCCCAGCCCAGCCCGGCTCGGTTCGCGTTCGCCCTACTAGCTGGCGGCGGCGGCGTCTGCGTCTGCGATTAGCCTTTCCCCCGCCTTCAAGTTCTCCCGCTCGCCGTCCTCCCTTCCCTTCTTCCCTTCTTTTTTCTTTTGTCTTTTTTCTTTTGTCTTTTTTCTTTTGTCTTTTTTTTTAAAAAAAATGCACGCCGCTGACGCCCCGCCAGCGTCGTCACGCGCCCGTTCGTGCGCTCGGAGCCCGCGCTGGGGAACCAGATGCCGCTGCACGTCCGGCGGCACGTGCACGCGCTGCCCGCCCTCGGCGCCGGCGCGGAGTGAGGATGGATGGGTGCTGTGGAGGATGCGTCGGCGCGTGTCGATGTAAAACAGGCGCTGGGATACCCGGCGTGTAGATACATAGATGTACACGCCCATGGACTCGGACTCGGATGTATGTATGTATGTATGTATGTATGTACGTCGAATGGCCAGTGGGGATCTCGACATGCACACTGTGTATGTATGAACTCGCCGCCACCACTTTGGACCTCTTTTTTTTTCCTTTGCCAACTCCGAGTCGTGCTCTGGGCATGGGGAGCAAGGGGTATGCGTGCCGGAAATCCCCAATATTGGGTTGGAAAAGTGGATTAAGGCCCACCAGACACCCCCCTCCCTCTGTGACGTCACGCCACGTGACTACATATGACTTCCCAAAAAGGTAATTCCTTGATTGGGCACCATTTCTGACAGATGTTCAGTGTGCATTCAATGTAGAAGAGCAGAATGTCCTTTCAATAACAATTATATCTATTGTAAGACTATTGATGACATTCCCAACCACCTGAGAGCCTACAAAAAAAAAGTGATTTAAGCCTTCCTAAGCACCCCCCCTCCCCTCCCCCCCGATGTCTCGGCTTGCGCCGGCACATACCCCTTGATGGGGAGTCAGGAGAAATGGTGTTCATTTCCAAAGCTCTTCAGGCTGTGTATCCACAAAAATAAACAGCCCTCAGGCTAAATATATTGAGAAACAAAGCTCTGATCTGCAGCACTGTCTCCACGCACAAGCTGAACAAATTGTATACGTATACTTAAATGTAAAAATAATCATGTGGCGCAGAATTTGTTTCACAATCTGGTCAGTCAGTAAGACTCGGATAGTAAGTAATAATTAATTCGTGTTTCCAGCGAGGTCTGGACACGGCGGAACACTCGGGGAGGAGAGAGCTAAAGAAACAACAGTTTGTGACCTGTCGAAGTTTGTCCCAGACTCGGCCCGGGACAGATTGATCCGAACGCCGTTGACATTTATCATGGCATACGAGGAAGCGGCATGTCACACTGCTCCTTGCCCTTGCCCACGACAGCGAAACGCCCTGCGCCAGCGCTGCAGCCTTAAACAATGCCGGCGTCTGTTGAGAATATATACATCCATGCCGGAGGTATGCAGCAGTGGCCGTACCCGCTGCACAGCCCCGCTAAATCCGGGCTTTGAATACAGGTGGCATCGGGGGTGCCGGGGTCGCTCGCTGCGGTGACGGGGGCGCCGGCTACGGCGCCCAGATGCACTTCTCTGGCGGGGGGAACCACAGGTGCGGTCGCTAAATCTCGGTTGCGGATAGATAGTATCATCGCTAATATCTCGGCATTGCGTAGCATCCAAGTGCACAGCGGGCCAGCCAAGGGTGCGCAACATGTGTTTTTGCTTTCCCTGATATGCAGACGACTCGGATATTAGATCGGGATGCAGAATTTCTCAAGATTGCAAACTGGATCTCCCCGCTCAATTTTGCGCTGTATCACCAGGATGTCAGGAAAGTTCGGACAGAAAATACGGGGCAGTGGCTTCTCCAGACAGACAAATTTAGGGAATGGTAGGCGGTCCCAGGGAATCAGTGTTCTTGGTAACCCCCTTATTAAGGGGGGGTCCCTCTTCTTAAGGCCTAAATAACCCTTAGGGCTTATTAACCCCCCCTCTCTTAAGATGCTTAATTTCCTTTTTGGGATATTATATAAGTACATTATATAAGTTGTTTTGTGAGTTGTAAAACTTAGAGGGTGAATGTTCTTAGCCTATGCTACTATGTATCTGCTATACAGAGGAGGGATACATTCCTTTCTGTGCAATAAATGATCACAAGGTGACTTGTGACACATCACCTGATACCTGAGGCCATGTTAAGACCTTAAGACCTGGGCAGCAGATATGTTAACCCTTATGTTAACCCCTGCTAAGGGGCTTAACTTAATAAGGGCTTATGCCTTACTAGGAACACTGCAGGGAATATCCTCTGGTGTACTGGTGATCGTAAGCCAGGCTGGCCTCCAACTTACAAACCTTATTCACTGAGTACATTTTCCAGCTGGTGTTGGCAAAACTGTGCTTGTGTAACTACAATTCTTCTCAATTCAGCTTATCCTGAGCTGACTCTCAAGTGTAGTTCCAAGGTGGTAGACCACTTATTGGAAGCAGAAACCATATCCAATGGTGTTATATATGCATATCTGAACTACAAGGAGGCTGTAAGGGCAACCCCGGAGGCCTGAGATCAAGGTCCTAGCAGGGGAGGATCCAAAGCGTGAACATTGGTAAGCGAATACAAATGAAGCTGACCTAGCAGGGGAGGATCCAAAGAGAAGAAACTCTAAGGGTCCGCCTGCTAGGTAGCTGACTATATACTGCTTGTCCGTAGCTGCCGCTGTCGGGCACAGAAGGCTTGGGCGGCGTCGCAGGCGAGGTCCCAGGGCGACCGTCGGGAGGGCGTTGACGGATCGGTGATTGTGCGGGCGAGATGGAGGGCCGGACCGGAATCGGAACCGGAGTCGGACCGGAATCGGGCGCGTCTCCGGGCCAAAAGGGAGGTTCCCCTGACAGAGGCTTGGGTCCAGACACCAGAAAATGTGCTTGGTGCCATGTGGAAGGAGCTGGTCAATGATACTAAGACACTTAGAAAATGAGCAGTAGAGCCGATCAATGATCAATCAAACTCTAACCAAATCAAATCCTAACTTTTGTGTGTATGTGTGTTCGGGGGTTCGAGTCGCAGGAAACAACTAACCAAATTCAGAGATGTTCAGGGATTGCACTAGAATTTGTCTTATTTAGTGCTTTCAACAGATCAGATGGTTTGTGATTTAGAACACAAAAGAAGGAGCAATATGGCTCAACCTCTCAAATGTTCTGGATGAACAAGAGAATGTATTTGCACTTGACACAAAACACAAACTCAAACAAGTTATAAAACCTGTTTTAATAGCGCAATTCAAATAGCTTCCTTGCTTCCTTGCAACCTGCAATAAACCTGCACCTGCACCTGCAATAAACCTGTGACTTGCTTCCTAGCTGCCTAGTTGTGACACTAGCTGCCTAGCTGCCTTGCTTCCTTGCCAAATAAAGTAAGAGATGGGGTGTAATTCGATGGGAATTCTCCTTCTAGCTACTACATTTGAGCTCCTTATATACTACTCAGAAAAATAACTAATGATGTGACAATTAAACTAATGATGTGACTGAGAAGCGCTATTAGCACTGCTTTGAGTCACATTGAGTCATTTGGAGTCAGAGAGGCTGTGCCTTCAGAAGCAAGGTCCTGAGAAGCAAAATCCTATTTAGGTCTAGTACATACAGCCTTGAGAAGCATTCTCAAGCATAGCCCCGGTGTCAAACCAGTACTATGGTAACCTTCCCACACTAGTTCCGATGTTTTGACAGCTTGTCACATGATCAGAAAGCGCTGCAAAGCACTACAAACTTGGTCTTTTATGCAACTATTTAGATAATAGTGGTTGTGAGTGTCATTGTGTGTTGTGCATTGAAAATCAAGAAAATCCATAGATTTGAGACATTTCAGGCATAGTCAATTTCCATGCTTGTCAATACCGATGACATCACTGCAGCAACCAGCCTATACACAGCTCATCAAAGGAAAGGAACCAGACCAACAATTGATGAGATTGAGCAGCTCATTGCTTCCATCACTACAAAATATAACTGCACATATATCATTGTGGATGCACTGGATGAATATCTCTCAGAAAAGCAGAACTTTCTTGTCAAGCATCTCTGCAAGTTGGGGCCAAATATCAACTTACTAGTGACTGTCAGGGGAACCCTGGGAACCTCCCTTTCGGCCCCTTGGAGACACTCCCGATTCCGGTCCGATTCCGGTTCCGACTCCGGTCCATCTCACGCGCACAATCACCGATCCGTCAACGCCCTCCCAACGGTCGCCCTAGGACCTTGCCTGCGATGCCGCCCAGGCCTTCTGTGCCCGACAGTGGCAGCTACGGATGAGTAGTATATAGTCAGCCCCCTAGCAGGCAGACCCTTAGAGTTTCTTCTCTTTGGATCCTCCCCTGCTAGGACCTTGATCTCAGGCCTCCGGGGTTGCCCTTACAGTGACATGTAGAAAACATGTTTCTCCACCCCCTGGCTCACCAGTGACTCCTCTGGAAATTGAAGCCAGTGAGGATGATATTAGGAATTATATACTAGCACACATCCAAGAACACCCACATCTTTCACAGATGATCCAGAGAAATACAGTGAAAGAGCAGATATTGATCAAGATGATTGCCAAGGCCAAGGGAATGTGAGTGCTAGTTTTATGGTCTTATATTATAACCCACATAGCAATTGGAATCTAGGTTTCTGTTAGTCAAACTCCAACTTGAGCTGCTTTATTCAGCAGTGACTTTCTAGAAGATTGAAACTGCACTAGACAGTTTGCCTGATACCTTGGAGGATACATATACAGAAACATTGCAGAGGATCAAATCCCAGAACCCAGGCTTTTGGGATGTTGCTCTATCAAGTCTGGCATGGATTAGCTATGCAAAGCGGCCATTAACAGTTCAAGAATTACAAATGGCTCTGGCTCTTACAGAAAACAGTGCAAGAAGACCTACCCATCATACTATGGTGGAAATAGATCATATCATTGCATGGTCATGTGGCCTCATAGCAAAAGATGACAACTTGAATACTGTACACTTGGTCCACTATACTACACAGCACTTTCTGGAGAAGCCACTTACTCTGGAATTTCCCAATTTTCAAGTTACCATTACAAATATCTGCTTGGAAACTAAGAAACAATTCATCTTTAGCACAGTCCACACCTTTATGGGAAGATATGCCAGCCCTGGCACTTTCGGCATATTCTACAAATATTTTATTATATGCAGTTGGACAACCAGAGCTGGAACTTACATTTGAGCTTTGTAACTTTTTAGAGCTGATTACAAAGCAGCATATAGAGCAGCAGTTCATACATTGGAATATGCCTAACCACTCAAATGCCAGGCCTTTAGGGAAATATATGTCCTTGCATCTGAATAAATATAATTCTAGCTATACTAGCTTGGAGGTTGCAGCTGCAGCAAATCTGCTTACTCTAACTCTCTTCCTAATCACCAACAATATCTGCATCCAGAGATCAGAACTAATAGGGGCTGCACTTAATGGGCATATGTTGATGGTGCAAGAACTTTTGAAAATGGGTACTGTAGCATTTTAATCAATTCAGCAGTCACGTGTCACACCACCCTTAAACGCCAAAATTTTTTTCGGGCGGTCACACACAATGGGGACAAACGCCGAATTCACCCGGCAAATCGCCCATTTTTGGCTAGCGCAGCCCGCAGAATACGCCGAAAAATTTCGGCGGTCACACTCGGAGGCCTCGGACACCAAAAATTTCAATTCGGCGCCGATGTCACACACATTTTCGGCACCGAATTGATTAAAATGCTACAGTATATCAATCCACAATATAGATAATGCACACATGACAGCACTGGAAGCAGCATCATTTGCTGGACATGAAGATATTGTCACATATCTGCTTGATGCAAAAGCCCATGTATGTGGCTCATTAATAGCTGCATTATCTAGAGGATTCCAAAGGATTGTACAGCAACTTCTTCAAGTTAAACCTGATGTAAACCAAGTTGATAGCTATCATGGAACCGCACTGCAGACTGCTTCAACTTCTGGTTATACAGAGATTGTACAGCTTTTGCTGGACTCAGGGGCTAATGTAAATATATTGGGTGGAAGCCAAGGAAGTGCACTGCAGCTAGCCTCAGCATATGGTCATAGAGATATTGTGAAGATTTTACTCAAAGCAGGAGCTAATATTGATGAATCAATTGGTAATCATGGAACTGCACTACAAGTTGTTGCCTTGCATGGAGACAAGGAGATGGTCCAGCTTTTACTAAGTGCAGGGGCAAATACAAATATAGAGGGTGGGGATTTTGGAAGTCCATTGCAAGCTGCATCTCTTATGGGACACAAGGAGATTATAATGCTTTTACTTCAGGCAGGTGCTCATGTGAACATGGTAGTAAATGGTAATTTACATGGTGGAACACCACTACAAGCTGCCTCATTAAAGGGATACAAAGAAATTATTGAGCTTTTGCTCAGGGCAGGGGCTGATTCAAATATACAAGGTGGTGAATATGGAAATGCACTTCAAGCCGCTGCATTAAAAGGAGGAGTAGAAGCTACACTCTATTTGTTAGAGAAGGGAGCAGATGTAAATACTGTTTGTGGCAAATTTGGAACTGCTCTACAAGCTGCTTCATCACAAGGACACCAAGAGATTCTCAAAGTTTTGCTAGAAGCACATGCTAGCCCAAACCAAATAGGAGGCAAATATGGAACTGCACTGCAAGCTGCATCATCCAAAGGGTACCCAAAAAATTGTACAACTTCTTCTCAAGGCAGGATCCAATGTGAATCAAGTTGGTGGAAAATATGGAACAGGACTACAAGCTGCATTATCAAAACACCATCCTGAGATTGTAGAGCTCCTTCTTCAGGCTGGAGCAGCCAAGAATAGCCCAACTGCATTCTTACAAATTGATTTGAAGAATCATATCTTATACTCAACCAAGCCACTAATCTTAGCTCTTAGTGATCAGAAGGAACAGAAGCAAGGGCGGTTCAACATCCGAAACATGGATATAGGGTTGGAAAGTTATTTTCCGACCCTCTGGGGACCCCCCCTCCCCCCCTCCTGCCATATAAGGCAATATGTTCTCACAATTCGTGTCATGTGACTATTGATGCAATCAAAAATTGGGATGAAAAATTCAATATTTGTGAAACTTTTTTTTACAAAAAAATTTATATATGTGTATGTGTATATGTGTAGGTATGTACATACCTGAAGCCTTCAAGCACACATGCTAGGCTCTTTAACATGCTTACTTCTGATTAATTACCTGATGATAGGCCTATGACAGAGTAGGCTATCCAAGCTCATAGGCCTGAAAGCATACAGATATAAGTATGAGGGTTGCAAACTGAAGAGATTAGAGTGTATACACTATATTTTCAGCGTCTTTACATCCATATAAGGCTTAAATCTTTCATATACAAAAAGTTTTTTTTACCCCCTGGGGACCCCCCCCCTCCCCCCCATGTGCCTGATAAGCATCTTGAACCCCCCTTGAACAGAAGAACCCATTGTTGTCTTTCTTTTATGTTTCAGACTTTCTTAACCAAGTTGATTAATATTTTGTCATAATCAAGGCAGTGTTCTAGTATATGATAGCCATTCCCTCCCAACTGGATCTTAAATTGTTAAAGTTCTGAGGTGATCACGGGAACAATGGGATCAAAGTGAGCGAGAGTTTGCAATCGCAAATCAGTGAGGGTTCGATGTGTTAGGGCAAATGATGCCCTACATTGTACTTTATTTTATCTTATATACTTCTTTACATTCTTCTAGTAAGTTCTATATGAGTCAGCAATATTTGAGTCAGCGCAGGAGTGGAAATTGCTAGAATATTCGCAGCGAGTCACAACGGTGACCATCATAATTTCAATATCATGGGTATATATTACCATTATATGGGCAAGTAGTTGACTATATGATTCCTGTTGTTATACATATCTAGAGATTGATCATTCCTTCCTATAAGTGGTACTAAATTTTATCACTAAGATTTTTTCAAATCTGTCTAAAACACCTGATGTACTATTGATCAGATACTGATTAGCAGGCCTGATCAAGGGAAAAAACATTATGACCTGATAACTTTATGATATTAAGAATATTATTAAATATTAAAATGGTTGAGCCATAGCTAAAACTTATAATTAGGTTGACTATGGCAATCCTGGACTTTGGAACGGAGAAGACTTTGTCAGATATTTAAGATTGATATTGTTCTTGTCAGGGAAACTTTCATTTGTCAGTGGTCAAGTGACTCAGATCATGATCTGAGTCACGGAACAACCTTGTCAGACGCCGCGATGTCCTTCGCAGCGCTGCCCACCGAGCTCCTTTTGCAAATCGCCGGATACTGTCCGGCCGCGGCCGCGCCGGCGCTGCGGGGCGTGAGCAGGACGATGGGCGGGGTGGTGGCGCCGGTGTTCTTCGGGTGCCTGCCCCTGCTGCTCGCGCCGGAGGGCCTCTGCGGCGGGACGCGCGCGCTGCTGGAGGCGGTGGCGCGCGGCGGGACGGGGACGGGGACGGGGACGGGGACGGGGACGGGGTGGGGCACGTGGGCGCGGAGCATCCGGGTCGTGCTGCGCCCGGGCGCGGACTCGGAGCGGCCCGTCGTCGAGTTGGGTGCGGAACGGCGGAAGTGGGAGCAGGAGCAAGACGACATCGCGCTGCTGCGGCGCGCGCTCGGAGTGTTGCCCGCGACGCACTCTGCGAGGTTAGTAGGGCTCCATCTGACAACTCAGGGGAACTAACTCATTTGGCACAGCTTCGAGTGGGCCACGCTAGACCTGCCCCACGGTGTCAACTACGCCATCCTCGAGCACCTAGCGGCAGCAGGCGCCGCGTTCCAGGAGCTGAGCATCGCGATCACCGCGCAAGAAGGCTGGCTGGAGAAGCGGCCCGAGCCGTCCTGGCCCACATTCGGCAGCCTCCGGGCGCTGACGCTCGCGGGCCCGCACGTGCCGCATGCGCTGTCGACGCTCGCATACTATCTCTGGGACGCCGGGTCGGCCGCGGCGCTCACCCGGCTCACGGTCGCCGGCCCCGCGCGCACCCGGCTCCCGCTGTGGACCATGCTCGACGACTGGCACATCTCCGCGCTGCACGTGAGCGAGGCGACGCTGTTCTTCTTCGGCGCCGCGGCGCTGAGGGACATGGTTGCGCTGGAGTCGCTGCATGTCGTCGGGGCCGGCGGCCCGCAGCCGCCGACGCTCCGTGCCCGTGACCTGTTGTTCAACGCGCAGATCGACGCGGGCCAAGACGCGTTGTGGCGCACACTCGCAGCCGCACGCCTGCATCTCAAGGAGCTCCGCGTGCCGCGGCTGTACGACGGGCTGCTGGACTACCTGCTGTCGTATGCCGGCCTGGAGGTCCTCGCGATCGCAAACGCGTCCGGCGCCGAGTTGCCGATACCGGTAGACGACGCGGACGCGGATTCCGAGTCGTCGGACTCCGCCGACGACTGGTCTGATGACGAAGCGGATCCGGATCCGGACCGCGGCGCTGCGAGCTCTGAGGCGGGAATGGCATCTGCATTCTTCCACCGGGTCCTGCCGCGACACGCCCGCTCGCTGCGCGTGTTGCGCGTGACCGCGCCGTATCCCGGGCCCTGGAGTGTCGGCCCCCACAACGTGGACGCCCTCCGGCAGCTGGCGCGCCTGCACACCCTTGTCGTGAGCGTGGACGTGAAGCGGGCGCCGGCCGGGGCAGGCAGGACGTGTATGCTGCGGGTCGCGGCGGGGCCCGGGGATGGCATCGACGCTGTCGTATGTGCACGTTGTTCGTCGTTTCGTGGGCACGTGCTGATCGGTGTAGGAACGCGTCCTCGCGACGATCAGCGGCCTTCCGTGCGTGCGCCGCCTTGCGCTGCTTGCAACGGCGCCGGCGCGGCAGCGGCGCGCGTACGGCTGGCGGCGCGTCGTGACGGAGTCGGATGAGCGCCGGGCCGCGCGCGCGGTCGAGGCGGCCGTCGGGCGCACCGGGTCCACGCCCGGCCCGGCAGCGCCGGGGCGATTCAACGACGCGCTCGTGCTGTTTGCGGGGCGCAGTGTGTATTGCCGGAAGCGGGACGGGGCGTTTGGGGTGGTGGAGACGCTGGCGCTCGGGACGACGAGTACGGGCTCCGCGTTGCCGCCGCTGTGGGTTGACGCGGAGGTGTGACTAGTGTTTCATTTGGCTTTGGCCTCAGGCCTATGGTGCTCGAAACAGGGAAAAATCAACCCGAGAAGAAAGAATGGGTCTCCGAGGAAACACTTGGCACTTCTTTGACATTTGCGAGGAATGTGGGCTCTTTTTGCCAAAAGTCTCACTCGCCAACAACTTGTCACTTCTGACAACTTGTTGCTTCCGACAGTTCCACCTGTACACGGGGTTTTTTTTTTAAAAAGCCTTCTCATTACCAGTGTTAATGTTTTTAAAAAATGCCTCTAATTTATGCCCCTGCCAAAAGGCGAGTTTTACATAGGGAAATGAGAGATCAAAAAAAGGTTGAAAAGGTTGAAAAGCCTTGTCAGGGTGGGCAGTGTGGTAGCTATAAGGCCCCAGACCAGACATGTGGAAAATTCCTTAAGTATGGGGAAAATACTGAGTAGGGGAAAGGCTAAAAGAGACAAAAAAAAATTGTTGATGCCAAGGTGCCAAGAAAGATACGGAGTTTGACAGCGTGGATTTCATTAAAATGAGGGGAAGACTTGTAAATCACTGATGTTTTTTAAAAATGTGAATATTCTAATTACAAGAGATGTTTTTTAAAAAACCCCGTATACGCCTGACTGTAAGGGCAACCCGGAGGCCTGAGATCAAGGTCCTAGCAGGGGAGGATCCAAAGTGTGAACATTGGTAAGCAAATACAAATGAAGCTGACCTAGCAGGGGAGGATCCAAAGAGAAGAAACTCTAAGGGTCCGCCTGCTAGGGAGCTGACTATATACTGCTTGTCCGTAGCTGCCGCTGTCGGGCACAGAAGGCTTGGGCGGCGTCGCAGGCGAGGTCCCAGGGCGACCGTCGGGAGGGCGTTGACGGATCGGTGATTGTGCGGGCAAGATGGAGGGCCGGACCGGAGTCAGAACTGGAATCGGACCGGAATCGGGCGCGTCTCCGGGCCTAAAGGGAGGTTCCCCTGACAGTCCGAATCAAACCGCCAGGCGTCTTGGGGGTGGCTGACTTGATCAGCTTGGCCCGGACCAGGGCCTCGTATTGACAGAAGGCCCGGGTGCGCCAGCTAAGGTAGTCCCGGAGGTCCGGGGGGGTCGTTCGAGGACATGATTCCGTTGTTGATCAAGGGATCAAGTCCATGGCGGAACTTGGTCACCTTGACCAACGCGTCTTCGAATCCAGCGAGGTCCATTAGGTCCTCGAAGTCGTCAGTGTACTGGTAGACATCCTTTGTGCCCATGTGATAGGCGGAAGTCTCCAGCTTGGAGAGAGCGTGATCTTGCTCGTTCTCCTCGACGAACCGGAGTCGAAACTCGGAAATGAACGAGCCCCAGGAATGGAAACGGAAACGGGGCTTTGCTTCCGTAGCGCTCCGCCCATTGCTGAGCAGGTCCTTCTGCCATAAAAAATGAAGCTGACCTAGCAGGGGAGGATCCAAAGAGAAGAAACTCTAAGGGTCCGCCTGCTAGGGAGCTGACTATATACTGCTTGTCCGTAGCTGCCGCTGTCGGACACAGAAGGCTTGGGCGGCGTCGCAGGCGAGGTCCCAGGGCGACCGTCGGGAGGGCGTTGACGGATCGGTGATTGTGCGGGCAAGATGGAGGGCCGGATCGGAGTCGGAACCGGAATCGGACCGGAATCGGGTGCGTCTCCGAGCCGAAAGGGAGGTTCCCCTGACAACTTCTGACAACTTGTTACTTCCGACAATTCGTCGCTTGCGACAACTTCCCCAATGTCAGAGATTTGATGCCCAATTGCAACTTGAATATGTTATTCTTTGGACATTCTCTGCAAATTTGCACTGGTAGTCCAGTATGTATCTTGATATAAATGCTGGATAAATCGGATAAACTTGGATGCATATATATGCTTATTTTAAGTGAAAGACATGGTTCACTTTATGTGATTCTATTGGCATGGATATGTATGCTGCTTCAAATAATTAGGAGTCATCAAGGATTCTACCTCAGGTCGGTCTTTACTATTCTAGTAACACCAGGACTATCTACACTACCTTGAGTAATCAATTGGTATAAAATTTATCTCTGATAGTACAATATTATTTAGAGACGAATATTTACACTGCAATGATTGATGGATTTGGCTGGAACCAACCAGAACAACACATAATTATTCATGCTCCCAGTATAAAATGTTTCTAAGTCTAAAAATTGTATTCTTAGATTTTTCTAGCATTTACTGATGATTGCCTTTTTTGGATGGTATCATTCTAGAGAAGAAGAGGAAGAAATAGCTGCTTTTAGGTCCAATATGCAGTCTGAGAGCAACCCTGGACCAGAGCGCCAACCACAAACTCGCCAGGCAGTCTGGATGAGAGCAAAATCGCTGGCCACCATGGCGATTTTGCCTGGTCAGCTATTCATTGTCTGATCCGTTGGACGAAAAATCACCCAGTCGGGTGAAATTGCACCAGCAAAAGGGCCCCACGATTTATCGTCTAGTCACTCCTCGCTCACTGGCACAATGGGGGAAATGGCAAGCCCACTTCTATGCAGCTGGCACATTGCATGTGTCATTGTGCTGCCCGTCCTGTCTAGGTGCAGGCCAGACACTGGCCATTTTGGGCCGTCTGCTGACCTGGAATCTGGTTAGCATTTGTCATAGGTAGGCAGGCATCGGCATTAAACAGGAGACTGAAGTTGGGGGTTTCTCATTAGCCAGTAGAGCCTCTGAGCGATGTATCACCTTGTGTGAAATGACGAAAAAACACCTGATCCAGGCGAATTTGGGCAAAAAGTTATGCATTTATTTAATGTTTTCATGTCTTTATAATCCTGTCAGGGGAAACCCTGATGCCGTCACTTGATCCCATCAAGCGCCGCGTCTCCGCTCACGTCTCCGCGTCTCCACTCGCGTCTCCGTGTCTCCACCCGAGTCTCTGTATTCCTGCACCCTGACGCTCCTCCTCCACTTCTCCCACCACATCCCGCATCCAGTGGTCCCCAACCTCTGACTCCCATAGCCACCCCTTTCTGGGAGTCTCTCCGGAGTCACCATCAGGGATCACTAATGCCATCGGAGACCTCTCCGGATGTGGACGCCACTTTCCTCTGACACCTCAAGCCTATGGCCTTATAGCCTCTCTGGGCTGTCGCTCATCGAGGTCTCCCTGCAACCTCTACCCGTTGGACCTCTTGGGTGTCCCCAACCTATGTCAGCGTTCGGGCTTACGTTCAGATGGCTGAGCCCCGCCATGGCTCCGCCCCCCACTCCGCCACCACGGCCCCCATCATCGGGGGTCTTCCTTTGGGTGAGGCCTACTGCCGTTAAGGCTTGTGCTTACTGCAGCGCCCCAGGCTGCACGCCCTCACACCTCCACCTCTCTGGAGACGTCCAGGGACGTCTCCGAGTGACCCTCCTGTTGCTACCCTCCAGTGGTCATGGCTGGCTGCCATTCCCATTGGTCCTTTCCGACACTCCCCGGCCCTTGGGCTAGACCGACTCCTTCCCTCTCCGCTCCATGCCCCCCCTCTCCGTTTCCGGCTGTCACGTCACGGTCACACACCCGGAATCGATTCCGATTCCGATTCCGGTTGTCACGGTCACGGTCACAAGCGGAGACGCCCAGAGGCAGTCTGGACCCCCCGAAGCCCTTCCTAGGCCTTCTAAGGATGCCTGGGCTCTTCCCTTGGCATCATGGTCCTAAACCTGCCTCTCCGGAGCTTCGAGGGCTACTCGACACTCACCTAGGGTCCATTAGCGACACCTGACTTCTCCCATGTGTCGTTCGTCACTATGCAGTCACTCTATCATTACTCCGGTCACTAGTATATAGTAGTGCACCTGAGCAGAGGGCTCCTTGGCTTGTTCTCTAAGGATTCCCCCTCTGCTCAGGTGAGTCTGTAGCGTCCCTTCCTGTTGTAGTAGTTTCACTAAGGATTCCCCCTCTGCTCAGGACTCTGATTTCAAGCCTCACGAGGTTGCCCTTACAAATCCAAGTTAAAAAAATGTTTGAAATTTTCCAGGCCAAAAACTCATTTAAAAGTCTAATATTTTCTGTATCAGAAAACTCATTCCACTATTCAAAGTATTTTATTATGTCTCTCAGGCCTAAAAAACAGTTAGTAAACTAAACTTTTTCTACTTGAAAAAATTTGTTCCAATAGTTTACATTTTACAATACATTGTCCCTTGGTCTCAACACTAGTAGAAAAGCCCAATGTTTTTAGATGACTTTGTAGCTAAAGAATATTTATATACTTACCATTTGTAGTACTAAAATACCAATTTGTAAATTCTGGATTGTCCAATAAATTCTTCTCTTCCAAAAACTTGACCTTTTTGGTCCAGTTTGTATGATGAAAACACTGGCATTTGTTACAAAACTTTGCCTCTTCCCACTAACGTTTCCGCCCTCAACATTTTTGAAACGCGGCTGTGCATATGGGTGGAGGAAAGGTTGCATGTCACGACGGCCCGTGACTCGGACGTGACGGTGATTTTTCTGTCTTTGACTCTTTCTCCTCGTCATGTTGTCAGAAGCGTGCTCGGAAGATGGGTACGAGTCGACCGTAGTGCAGCGCTGCAAAGAATACTGGTTTGAGGACGGGAATATCATTCTGCAAGCTCAGTCAATTCAATTCCGCCTGAGCAAATCGGTCCTCGCCATGCACTCACCCGTCTTTCGCGACATGTTCGCCCTCCTGCTACCTTCAGACGAACCGTTGGTGGACTGTCCGGTTGTAATGCTGTCTGGAGACACAAGTGGGGACTGGAAGCATCTTCTCGGTGCAATCTTCCCCAGAGAGTGAGTGGCCACTGGCATCGTCCTTGTTGTCGTCGCCGTCAACGCTCACGAGAAACTTTGCAGATGCTTCCATTCTACTGCCAAGACTCCTTCTCTGCTGCAGCTGTCCACAATCTTGCGCCTCAGCAAGAAATATGACATCGTCGGTTTCCGCAAACACTGTCTCGAGATTCTCAAAGCAGAGTTTCCTACTCGTCTTCAGCAGTTTGACGGGGCTATGGGGCGGTGGCTGTGGATATCTGTTCCCGATGGCGTGCATACGTCTGACGTTTGTGTTCAGGTCATCAACCTAGCTCGCGAAGTCGGGCTGTATTCTCTGCTCCCCGCGGCATTTTATGGGATTCTCCAGGAGGCAGAATATACAGACCCTAAGCTCGTGGTGCCAGTGCGTTGAATACATCAGGAAAAAGAAAATTTCTAAGTACCTGTCAGCCAAACCAGGATAGCATTGGTAGCTCTGGTAGTACTGGTAGTGATAGGTGTGTTGCCCAGTAGTACTCAGTAGTTGGAGTAGTATTTGCCCAGTACTCTAGTAGATACCTTAACTACTAAATATACTTGATTAATTTTTTATTGTATGTATGAGGTTATATATTATCTGTAAAACGACCTGCACGACCCAGTTTTCGAATCCGAGCACGACGCAGCTGTTCCTGCTTTCGGAAGTGCTCGAGATCAGGCCTATAGCGAAGGAGAAAGAAATCATGATGACGAAGATAAGGATTGAGGTAAAAATTTGATGCTTGGTCTAAAACATATTCAGAAACCCATGTTGCCCTGACCTGTTTGGCACCAAACACAGGAATCAGATGGCATGAACGGATTACGTGTGAGAGCTTGACAACTTGGGAATGTCGGCGATGATGGCGAGTAGAGGGGGAGATTTCAAACATGCCAAGGTCAGTGCTGAATCGTGTGAAAGGAGTATACCATTCCACATAAGCAAGTGGAGTTGAAGTAGAATCATGTGTATCAGGAACCCGGAATATCAGCCGAAGTCGAGCAGCACGAAGAGCTAAGGTCACAGTGAATGACAGAGGGAATTGTAGAAGAAATAACTCACTAGTAATGGAATCAACTGGGCCTTCACCAATGTGTATCAGCACAGTATCAAAGCATGGAGCTTTGGCTGGCTTGAGTCCATTTGGTGTCTCTTTTCTATGCTCTCCCTTGACAGCACGAAATTTATCCAAAACGGGTGTTGACGAGATTTCCGGTATTGCCGGAAGCGTAAGGGAGGCAAGTTTATAGACGTCAAGAGGAGATGTGGATGTGAGTTCGCGAAGGAGAGGGATGGAATTGTCGCGGAAGAAGTCGTTGACACGGAACAACAAGTCTGGTGCATGATAGTCTTGTGAGAGTTGTGTGATCGGAATATTACGGAAGGCCGGCTTCTTAGAGAGACGATGTGACTGGATATCATCAACGTCAAGGGTGTCGATATCATCAGTGTCGTCACTGGTTGAGTTAGCCTCAGGGCTATTAAGTGAGAGATCGGACGTAGCAGATTCAAGAGCTGTGAACTCGGCTTCGTAACCCGGAACAGCCCACTCCAAGTATGAAGCAAACTTTCGAACAGCCTCCTGGCGCTCTAGCCATTTGATCATCTCGGGAATATAGTCCTTGTGGTTGCTTGCACGGTAGCTCGACTTGGCGAAATCGATATGCAAGCGCTCTGTGTGCTCAGTATTGAAACTGCCAGTTACGCCGCGGGATCGAATCGAGTCCGTGTAATGCTTGAGCTTCGTGATTTTGCTGATATTGAAGTGTTCCCGGATACCTAGAGTTTCGAATATTTCCTTGTTTGCGTGGAAATTCGACCAGGCAGTGTCCATCAGGGAGAGCGATTCATCAGAATGAACCCGGAAATGAGCGTAATAGGTGAAGTCCAGGAGACCCCGAACAGCACGGAGCACGCGAGGGTCAGTTGCATTGGCGGTCAGTCCAAGAAACACCTTCTCCATCTCTTTATGCTCCTTCCCCGTCCATTGTGTCGTTAACGAGATTCCCTTCTTAAAGTGGCGTAAAGAGTGATGCGGAGACATTGCTTTGTATCGTCGATCTATCTCCGGCCCAGCTCCTTCGATTGCCTCGCTGACCCATGTAACTAGATGGTCGCCAAAGACACCGTTATGGATCTCGTGAAGTAGATCCGGCGTGAAGCATTCGAAGATATTGCAGTGTGGTAGTTTCCGCCAGAACGGATCGACAAGGGTGAGATTATGCTCCACGAACTCTGGTACGTTTTGCCCCGCAGCCTTTGCTTCAATCCACTCCAACGTACTGACAGGATTTCGATGCTCCGCCTTTGCATTCAGGTCACCCCGCTTTTTCGGGGCAACCAAACAGATTGGGCAGGAATTCAAGTTGCCGCTGGCAAGTTATTCCTCTTCAAAATGGCCCTGCTGACACGACCTACTAGATAAGGAGAATGCTCAGGCTTTACTGGACGACAACGCCAAGCTCCGTCGTCTTCTTGCACAGTACAAGAAGCGCGAAAAAGCGCCAGGTGCGTGGTGTTAAGTACACACTCTCTTCTCTTGACTTGTCGAGCTGCAGAGGCATGCAACGACGACGATGACGAACTGGGCTTCGAAAGCGAGGAAGAGACGACCGATGCACCCGTCATTGGTGCATCAAACAGGGTATGTCCTCCGAGTCAATCCTTTCCGTTGGATAACTGACTGTTGTTTCTACAGATTCGTCCGCTCGAATTGCTTTCCGCAGCCGCCGCCCGAAGCTGGTGAAGCTCAAGAAAGTCAAAACAGGCGCAAAAAGGGTCCCAGTGACCCGATTTTTGGACGAACCTGAGCCAACGCCAGAGCAATACCGCCAAGATAGCCAGTCCACTCCGCAGCATACCCCATCCCGCTCTGACGACACCACTGCCGCCTCCTCGTCCTCTCCGCTGTCTGCCGCCTTCGCAACCCACCTCCCTCTTCCTGATGTCGACCGCTCCGGTAAACGTCGCGCGTCCGATGATGCCGAAGCTCCACCGCCCAAACGTTACAAGGACGACGAGCGCTTACCCGAATTCCGTGATGGTCAAGAGCTCCCATTATCGAAGGCCAAGGCAGTGGACTACGTGCCTCCCGATGCCGCAATTATCAATCGTACGTGCCAGTCGTACACTGTGCATGTGCTCTCTGGGGGGGTGCTTTCCGTCGACCCAGGAACAAGCTCAGTGGACAAAAATAGCGTGGAAGGGAGCATGTCGGGTTGCCGGGGAGAGAGTCAAGCTGACACATCGTGTCTCGAAGATCGTAAGTCTTCTTTTGCTTGCAGCGTGGGACTAACCGCCCCCGCCCGTAGGTTACTGCCCGTGGCTCGCAGGCACGCGGTAAAGTCATCACGGCCTTTCGGGACCTTTTCGCCAGCCACTTCGGCTTTCAGCGCGGCTCGTCACGAGCTGTCATCGAGGCAAACAAGACCTTGGCCGAAGACCTTCTGAGAGGCTCGGCCTTCCATTACAAGGTGTGTGTCAGCTCTGCTCCTCCACTCCACCCTCTTGACGTGTTTAGGATCCCAAAACTAGGCAAGGCTATGCGGAGAATAAGATCATTCCTGCTGTCCGAGCACTCACTGTCTTCCGCGACAAGAAGGCCCTTGGTCCTCGCTTCCCGCAGTCTTTCGACCCTCTTCCGGTCCCGCTAATCGCATTGGAGCTCACAGCAGTAAGAATTTGCACACAGAACATTCGCTCGCTTACTAACGGACGTTAGCTCGAATTCTGCGTCAAGGAATGGGTAACAGGCTCCTTCGTTCAATCGAAGTTCTTCGAGACAGACGTGTCCGACAACTATAAAACACATCTCGCCGACATTGAAAAGTGGACGGGACTGAATTTGGAAGTCACACGAAAGCTCCGCCATAAGTGGTATACCCGCTCCACGTATGTACCGCCTGTCTACCTGATTATTCCTCGGTGACTGACTTCATTTCACAGAGCAACAATCTCTGCAACACCTGTTGCAGCGCCGACTACAAATATGGGTGAAAACCAGATTGGTGAGAGTGTGAGCTTCGCGCTCTTCGTGAGGTTGATGCTCTTCGTGAGGTTAGGGTCACCACCTGTCAAAGTTGTTTAGATGTCACAGTGCTCGTCCGCCTTCGTCCGCTCGCCCCTTGTTGAGATGTTGAGTTTCGGCGTCCCCTCCCTGTGATGTCACCCGGCTGCATATCCGCCGCCGATCGTCCGCTGTTCCGCCGCGGACTTCGCACCGAACCCGGGACAGGTTCTCACGCGCCGGTCCTTGTCTCGAGCCACCACCATTGTTGCCGGCGCTTCGTACCGCTGCCCCGAGATGGACGTCTGGGAGGCCAAAAGCGGGCAGAATCCGCGTTGATCCTGTTACTGTTCCTCCGGCCCGACTTCCCGCACTCGAGTCGTATCGTATACCCAGCCCTTCAACATCTCTCCGCCACTGCAGCGCCTTGAGCGCCTTCCTGGCCTGTGCCCTCCGCAACACACTATCCACCTCCGAGTCTGCATCGGCCCCCGCGATTGCCTGCATTTCTTCAGCGGGCCATCGTGCTCCAAAAGTGCGGTCTACACGCTTGGCGACCTCCGCAGGACAACGCGCGGTTGTAAATGTCCTCCTCCGCATCCGTCAGTGCCGACGCGCTATGGTGGAGGATGATCATCGAAATCCAGCGCTTCTACGCGAAGACCAACGTTGTACATGCCAACTCCGAGTCGGGAAGCGCTGTCAACGGCCTATCTGGAAACTTCGCTCATAGACGACTTCCATGGCGTGTTCCAGTTCCTTGGATGCAAACATTGTGGGCATGCTGATTGTTCTCCAGACAAGACCTGGCACTGACATGCCACCACCGTCGCCCGGACGGGCGGATTGTCTGGCGGAAGTCTCTTCAGGAATCGTCCTTGTCATCTGCAAGGGTAAGCTTTGGGCGGAATATTCGCCTATCGTGCATGTTGCTAATGACATGCAGGACGACCATGCTGGTTTGACGCAACATACCCGTCAAACAAGTCGGACGCCAGCGGTATACCCGGCGGGTTGGCCAGGCATGACTCGCACCCTTCACCGCATGTCCTCACGTCCTTGCGCGTGCATACAGGCCGCAATGCAGGGCACGGAGACAGCGGGTAGCCTCAGCGGCGTCTTCGGTGGGTTTAACTAGGACTCGTTGCCCATCGGCGGCATTGTTGTAGACGTCGGGTGCCTGTCTCGCTCAGTGTCGCGCAGAAGCACCCCCAAACCAAAGATCGTCGACCAGGATCTAGAGATGCACTGGCAGTTGGCGCAGACCAATGCATTTCTGGTTAGATGACTGGCGGCAGCACTGGCAAACCGAACTGCCGTCCCACATCGAGCACCAGCTTGTCGGACTCCAAGATGTGGCCTTCAAGTTTCCTTTCCTCGAGGGCAATTACTAACATCACTGCCTAGAACACGACCTATTCAAGCCGCAGCCAGTGAAGAACACAGCTGTCCTTGCTCGTGGCGAAACATAGCCAAAGGCTTGGGGGCCGCGACGCACACAGTTCAGAACGTGCTCGTGTCACGAACCGCGGCGGCGGGAACGTGAGCCTGTTGTGTTAGCGCCGACTGTGACGGGCGTGGCTGACCATGATGGCGGCGGGGCAAGCAAGAGGAGAGGCGGTTTCGCGAACATGACGGTCCTTGGAGTGGACGTGTGCCAATGTGGAGTGGGAGAGTTTTCAACAGAAATACTGCTTGTATAAATCTATATTTTTACCGAGTACAAAGTAACTACTTGATGGTCTTGCGGCTGCAGGAATCAGGTGAGTAGATATTCTGAAGTTCATGGCATACTAAAATAACGTACCTGGGCTTTGTGTTGCTCAGCACTGGTAGCTCGTCGTCACGACGCGGTGGCTTTATGGCGCGACTTTGACGGGCGGGCTGCGACCGAGTCCGGATCAGCCTCCTGAGTTGCCTTGCGCTTTTTCGAAGACTGAAAATAAATATCTGGTTAGTATCATACAAGGTTGGCATTAGCAGACAATGATGATGCTCACTGGGACAGATCCTGACTCCAAGTCCGCTGTTTCGGACTCCAGCTCTGAAGGCTTATTTCCCGCACGGGAAGCTCGGACTCGTCCGGAAGAGTTGGTCTGGATAGTGCAATCATCAAAACCGCGACACAATTTATTGTCAAAGTACTCACATGAACTTCCGCTTTCGCCTGAGCCAGATTAGCTGTTGCTGTCTTGACCGCACGCTCGCAGTCATGTACGACCTCCATGGCGATGGTCCGTTGGCTGCCTGATGTCGTCTGCAATACTCAGTAACTGAACAACCAGCAGCGGATGAGTACCTTTGCTATTGCTTTGGCATTTTTGAGTGCATCCCGCGCTTCAGTGAGGGCAGCTCCACATAAGCGAACTGTTTCGTCAACGGTGCGCGATTGATGGATTTTCTCGACAGCAGCAAGCTGACGTGAATTTCGACTTTTGAAGCGGAGACTATTTCTGGTCAGACATGCCCCCCGCAGTTCAGTGAAATCACGCACCATGCCTTTGAAGAACCCATCTGGGGTTGATCCATTGGGGACGGAATCCTTGGGGAATGACAAAATAAACGCCGTCGCCAACTCCGGATGAGGAAGGTCAGATGGACAGCCGTGTACGCGTTCAAGACGATAGATCGTCTTCTGCGTCGTCAACTTGAGACCATGGGGAAACTCGATGTATTCGGAGTACACCCCGGGGTCCAGCCATACCCGGTCTGAGCGTGTCCACTCGAGTTGCTCAAGATTTTCGAGCTCCTCCGGAGTGGGGATCGTCGCACGCTTCTTGCGCCGCTTGGACTTCTTCTTGCGCGGTGATGGTACGACTGGAGCAGGCGGAATCGGCACTGAGGAGCTATGGCGGATTCAGAACAGATCTCGTGGCATTAGGAGACGTCACGTACCTTGCAGCGCCCGTCATATCATCCGCAAACATGAGCTGGGGACTCGGAGCCCTAAGCGACACTGTGAGAGCCTTTCGTCAACAAGACAAGCACATACCGCCAGATATTCTCGATTCCCATGGGAAAGCCATCATCAGGTGCGA